ATGATTTATTTCAGAAAGTCAGCTGGAGCAGAACTCGGAATAAAGAGCTGTAAGCCACTATGTTATCGGTGCTAAAGGAACCACTGTATACAAAGTCATGTGTGAGAAGTACGTGCAAGGCTTGGAAACTTTCTTCCAAAACAGGAAAGGCAAATAGTCGAAACCTTCGAGACTGGACTGGCTATACAGTACAGTGGTTAAACGCTGTGCACAGAAAGTGGGATCCCACGAGGTCAGTCATGGTTTGAGTCTCGGCCCTGGCAGCTTGAAAAACACGGTGGTGTACGTGTGTGTGTGTGCCTCAAATTCAAATCCCAACGGGATGGAGAAATGGAAGAGAAGGGGCTGTGATGTGACCATAACCCCCATGAGGGGATGCTTTTTCTCCTCTTTCTCTCTCAGGTGAGTGCACACAACTTCAGGCAAATTAAAAAAGAAAAAGAAAAAGAAAAAGAAAAACTTTTGGACTGGTAAAGTCATCTCAGGGAAACTTGAGGCATTGGTGTGTGTGTGCATGTGTGTGTGCACGCGTGCGTGTGTGTGTGTGTGTGTTGGAGGATATGGCGGGGGGGGATATGCCCATTCTTCTACAGTCCCATCAGTTATAGATACAATATAAACCTAAAGGTAACAACAAATGGAATTTTTAGATTATTTAGATAGTAAAAAGGCAAAATCAAGTCATTCTTTTCACTGCTGAAGACTTAAAAATGAAATTCACAGCTGTGGCCCAAATAAATCAGTTTAGGCCACAGAATCATATTTTTCTTCAACTTGGATGACACCCTACTTTTGGGCATGAAAAATAGTTAACATTTAAAATGTCCACTGGCAAGTGAGAAAAGAAGTGGTTGGGCCAGACTGCTGGATCCTGGGGCCGGCAGGTGGCATGGTGGTTGGGGGTGCTGGACTCCCACATGGCGAACTGCAGTTCGAGTCTTGGACCTGGTGGTGCCTTGCTTTCTCACTTTTCCTCTCTTTCTCTCTCCCTCCCTCCCTCCCTCTCTCTCTCTGGTCTAATTTATTTAAAGTAAATAAATAAGGTTAAATAAAATAATTCTTTTTTTTTTTTTTGAGAGATTTTTCATTACAGGGCGCGTGCGCTCGCCAAACAGACAGAGACAGACAGAGCGACAGAAAGCGAGAAATCACCCCCCAGAGGGGATGGCCACGCCGCAATCCCTTCTCATCCATTCTCCTCTCGGGATCTTGGGCACGCACGCACACGCGCCTGGCATGGGTTTTAAGCCACCGGGTCCGGGACGCGAACCACGGTCGACTACGTGGGAGTCCAGCGACATAGCCATTACACTAACTGCTGGTCCCAATAAAATAATTCTTAAAAAAAAAAAAAAGACAGCTGGATCCCACAAGGTGACTGCAGTTTCGAGTCCTGACCCAGTGACTTGAGATACATGCTTAGTGTGTGTGCGTGTCTGAAAAATCCTGAGAGAATGAATGAGAAGGGACTACAGTATGACCACCCCGAGGAGCTATTTCTCACCTTCCCTCTCTCTGTCTCTGGCGAGCACACATGCCCTATAATAAAACTCTAGCAAAAATAAAAAGAAGAAAAAAGAAGCTCCTGGTCACAGCTTTTCTGCTTGGCCAGATGACTATGTAGACAGTGTGGGCACACTTCTGGGCCTCGTCGGAGTGCACCAAGACTGCCTTTTACATGGCTGGGAGCTTGGTTGTCTGCAGCAGAAGAACCACTTTTTGCACAGTTAGGCAGGAAGGCAACATGGGAAAGAGAATTGCGAGGTCCTCCCACTCACCTGGACGGGTGCCTCTCCAAACCTTGGTGTCCCAGGGATCTGGGCCCCATGGTGCTTCCCCTCTCTCGAGCTGGGAGATCAGAAGAGGTTTGGGGAATGGAAATGCTATTTCAGGATGAAAAGAAAGACAGTTGTAGGCAGATATCCAGGGCTGCTCCTGAGACCTCTCTCAGCCTGTTCTTTCACAGCTAACTGGGGAGAGAAACGGGACATCCAGGAGACCATGAGCTACAGAGGGACCCCAAGGGCAGGCCCACCATGGAACCAAGGAGATACGATCCTCCTCAGAAAGGAATTTTGCAACCTGGTTCTGACCGAGAGAAAAGAAACTTCCTCAGGAACAATTTATATCCTATGCCCATGGGTGACCCCTCCACAAAGGGGCAGGTCAATATCCCCAAGAAACCGGAAGGATGAGGGACAAAGAGGTCGCCTAGGGTGCCAGAAGAGTCTTCTCCCCCGGTCCAAGATCTGCACTCTTCCCTGGGTAGAAAGAGGTCCAGTTTCAGAAGCAAATGGAACAGGGACCTCCCATTCAGCATCTCTGAAGGTTGGGGTGCCTGGAGAACTCTCCTCTGGAGTCATCGAACCTCAGGGCCACCAGAATCCCACACAGCTGAGGAAGACACCAAGTACCGAAAAGGCCACTGAGAGACTCACCCAGGGAAGCGACATGTGCGTAGTTCTCCAGCATCACCTCCTTGTACAGGGCCCTCTGTGCAGGGTCCAGCCTGGCCCCCTGCTTCTGGGTGAAGTGCACGGCCACATCCTCGAAGGTCACTGGCTCCTGAAACAAGAGGCCCCTGCTCAGGCTGAGTGTGGCCCGGAGGGGAGCAGCCCGAGCTGCAGGGGGAGAGACTTACCTGGGTCAGCAACTGAGCCCCAGGGAGGGTCTGCTCAGGCTCCCAGCGACGGCCGAGTCCTCAGCCAGTGCTCCCACTTCCGAACAGGAAGCCCCGCACTCTGCCCCCATCTGCACAGCTTGGGCCCAACTGCTCTCCCATCTTAAGCCCAGCAGGGGGCTCTCTCCCTGGCAGCTGCATCAACCGCCTGGTTCCAGTTTCACACATCTGTCCCTCTGCTCCCCCATCCCCTTAGGTAATGTACAATTATCATCATCTTACTTTGTTTACTCCCATTACACCATCTCCACCAATCAAAATACTCCCCAACTCCCAAAACCACCAGCCCCCCCCCTTGTTCCCTGCAGCTAGCTTCCCTTTGCTCTTCCCCACACCACCCACTGCATGCAGAGGAGCCCACAGGAATATCCCCAGCAGGTTGCAAATTTCCCTTTTGAACCTTCTGGCCTTCCCCAAGAGTTGGCTCTCCGGGAAGAAAGCTGCAGCCTGCCTGTTCTGGCCCTCTTATCTGACCCATCTGTCTTCAGACAGGGTGACAGGGCCTGGCCCTGGGCACAGACTCAGCCACCAGTCTGCTGAGCTCCTCCTACGCCCCGGTCCACCACCCAAGTCCGTCCTCATCACTAAGTGTGTCCCTCTCTGCCTTCTCCAGGGTCAGCTCCACCTTCTGAGGAGTAACGGGATGGGGCAGGCCCTGTGGCCTAGTGCTTAAGGGAGCCAGATCCCACATGGCCAGCTGTGCAGTTAGGGTCCTGGCCCTCCCAGCTTGAAAAGTATGCTGGGTACAGATGCATGTGTGCCCAGAATCAGGATGGAGAAATGAGAAATGGAAAAGAGATTATGGCATGACCACACCCATTAGGAGGGTGCTTTCTCCTCCCTCCCTGCGTGTGTGTGTGTGTGTGTGTGTGTGTGTAGAGTTCATGTGTGTAGAGTGCATATGTGCATGTGTGTGTGTTGTTAGTGAAGTGTATATGTGTGTGCGTGCATGTGTGTGTCTCACTCTGGTGGCCCTCTAGCAAGTTTAAAAAAAGGAAAGTTCAGGTAACCACACATTCCATACACACTTTGAAAAATGATACTGTACCCCCCAAAGATGTACGATTAAATAAAAATAAGAAATTATACTTTTTTTTTAATAAAAAGAGCAAAGGGAACTAATATTTGTTGATTGGCTCCTGTGTACTAGGCTCTTAGGTAAGTAACTTTAAATCTTGTATTTCGTGTCATCACAACATATGTGTGAGATAAGAATTATTATTCCCATTTTTCAAGTGATAAAAGTAAGGTTCAGAAAGATGGCTTTGCTCACCATCACAGCCAGGAAATGGTAGAGCTGGGACTTGAACCAGACCTGCCCGACAACAAAGCTGTCTTCCCGGCTGGGTTCACAACCTTCTCGGAAAACATGGCTAACCCCTGAAGCTCGTCACAACCTGGCGCCATCCCGTCTTTAAACAGCTTCTCACACTCCCCAAATCACCATCCCATCCATCCTTACCATCCTCCCCAAGGCCGCGAGGGCCCTCACCCCAGTTTGGACAGGAGGTAGTTATCCCAAAGCTACACCCACCCTTCCAGGAGCAGAGCCTCTGAACCTCCTGTGAGACACCAGAGCATCCCAGATGGCGTCCACAGACTGCTTTCTCTGCTCCTGCTGTCAGGGCAGCACAGGCCACGGAGACTAAGGGGGCTGGAAGGGTGTCTTCCCGCCTTGACAGGGGACTTCCCTTCAGGAAACTCCCACTACCCCAGGCAGTCCTTCTCAGCCACTGACAACAGAAGCGTTTACCAACAGGGGCTACACCTAGCACCTGGCTTCTGCATGCCACGTCTGACTCCAGGCAGCCCTGAATCAAGCACTAGAGTTGGCACAAGGGAACAGGGGAGAAGTGATGGCTCCTATGACTACTCTTGAAAAGAGCAGAGAAGAGGGATCAGCAATTAGCGTAATGGCTATGTTGCTGGACTCCCATGTAGTCAACCACGGTTTGAGTCCTGGACCCAGCAGCTTAAACTCAACGCCGGGGGCGTGTGCGTGCGTGTCCAAGATCCTGAGAGGAAAATGGAGGAGAAGGGATGGCAGCGTGACCATCCCCCCTGGGGGGGGGTGATTTCTTGGTTTCTGTCTCTCTGCCTCTGTCTTTCTGGCGAGCGTATGCGCCCTATAGCAAAAACCTCTCCAAAAAAAAAAAAAGAAAACTTCAGAAGAACATCAGGGGCCAACCTGTAGCTGGATGTTAAATGAGCCAAATGCAACATGGCCAACCACAGTTCAAATTCTAGCCCTGGTAGTGTGAATAGCATACTAGGCACATGTATCGAAATCCCAAGAGGATAGAAAATGAAGAAGGAAATGAGGCATGACTATATCCCATTGGGGTTTGGAGGGGTGCTTTCTGTCTCTCTCTGGTGATCAAGTGTACTCTCTGGCAATTAAATTTGTTTACCAACAGCAAACACCACTTTAAGAGAGAAATGCCAGCGTATACCCACTAAAGCTGATGGCAATCTACCATGATATGAGGTTCTATTTCTGCAAAAGATGGAGAAAAAAAGCATCCAGCAGGTGGCATGGTGGTTAAGGGCGCTGGACTCCCACATGGCCAACCACGGTTCAAATCCTGGACCTCGCGGCTTGCTTTCTCACTTTCTCTGTCACTTGCTCTGTCCCTCTCTAGTCAAATTTTAAAAAATAAATACAGTTAAAGTAATTTTTAAAAATGTAATAAACATAAATACATAACTTGCAGATGGAATAACTAAGAATCAGAAAATAAACTGAAATTTATTTTCAACTAATTCCAAAATTGGAATTGGAATACCACTGGAATTGAAATTGGAGCACTCCTTGAATTCCAGGTTTGCAGGAGGCAGCAACCAAGCCAGTGCAGGAACCCTGTTTTGAAACCACCAAGACATGATGTCACTGTTTGGAGCCCTCAGGTCAGGACTCATCAAACTGAATATGCAAAGCCACAGCGGGTCTGAAATCAAAGACACATGCATTGTTGGCTGCACTGAAGAGGCCACAGCCAGAGCTTGCAGCCCTGGAGAAAACAGTTCTCCAGGCTGACCACCATACTGGTATCCCGACTGCAGGGCTTACTGTGAGGCTAGACTGTTAGGTAATTGTATGCACCTGGAGTGTTTAGATTCCAGCTTTGTATTTGATAGACCACTTCCAGTATCGTCTCTAATCCGAAGCAAGACCCAGATACCAACACCAAGACATGGCCAGGGGTTGTGTGGTGTTGGGCTGCTCATTGTTGGTTATGAGGATGTGGTCCCCCCATTTTCCAAACATGTCCATCGGCTTCCTATGGTGACTGCAGAGCTAAATTCATACGGGAGCTCATTCTCAGTCAGCTCACTCGGAGACATGTCTGAGTTTATGGGCTATAATCTGAAATGAACAGTCTACACACGTAAGAGACTCTTCCTGCAGAGCAGGACCTAACTACAAAGAATATTTCCAACATAATTGTTGGTAAAGACTTGGAACTTGGGACCAGCAGATGGCATAATGGTTACATTGGTGGACTGCCACATAGTCAACCATGGTTCGAATCCCAGACATACAACTTAAAATCAACGTCGGGCGTATGTCCGTATGTGCCCAAGATCCCACAAGGGAACAGAGGAGAAAGGGGTTAGATATGGCCATCCCCCGAGGGGGTGATTTCTTGCTTCTGTCTCTCTGGCTAACAAATCCTATAGCAAAAATCTCTCTTAAAGGTGGCATGGTGGTTAAGGTGCTGGACATTGCTACATGGCCAACCACGATTCAAGTCCCAGACCTGGTGGCTTACTTTCTCACTTTCCCTCTCTCACTCTGATCAAATTTAAATAAATGAATAATTTTGTTTTAAATCTCTTTAAAAAATCAAAATTTAAAAGACCTAGAGGGGCCAGCAGGTGGCATGGTGGTTGAAGGTGCTGGATTCCCACACAGCTGACCACGGTTCGGGTCCTGGACCTGATGGCTAGCTTGCTTGCTTTCCCTTTCTCTCTCTCTGTCTCTCTCTGGTCAAATTAAAAAAGAATAATCCTAACAAATGGAATTAAATAAATAAAAAAAAAGACCTGGAGTTAATGATCTATGATGATGATGATGATGATGATGATGAATTTTTGTTCCTAGACAGTCTTAAAGAAAGACCAAAGAGAAAGGCATGGCCTACCCAACTTGCTGATGAACCTGCAGGAAAGGCTGGTAAACCGATAGAACAAGTGATATATCAGTCTGTATGTGTATTATCAAATATGGAAGAATGTCGGTATACCTGCTGATGACAGTAATCTATACTCTGAACCAAAAGATACACAGTGGTAGAATAGTATGTTGTTGAATCAGTAGAGATGTGCATTTTTTCCAAGCAGCCTCACCACAGAGATATATTGGAGAGCATTTTCCTTTAAGAGGGTCTATTTCATTGTTTTCTAGAAATTACAGCTATCTGTATTAATCTTTTTACATGAAGAAAATAGTGTCGTTGAATTTCTTTTTTTTGTTTATTAAGAAAGATTTTTGCCATAGGTGTGTATGATTGCCTAAGAGACAGAGAACAAGAGAGAGAAAATGAACAATCATTCCCCTGGGACTGGGGGGGCGGGGGGATGGCCATTCTACAATCCCTTCTCCTCCATTCTTCTCTTGGGATTTTGGGCGTGCACGTACACGTACCCGGCATGAGGTTCAAGCTGCCAGGTCTAGGACTTGAACTGCAGTCTATGATGGCATGCAGGTCCTAAACTGCTATGCTACCTGCTGGCCCCTGTGTCTTTGAAGTTTTACAGATAACTGTGAAATAAATTATTTCACCTTTGGTTAAAAAAAAAAAAAAAAGTTGGGGCTGACAGGTGGCATGGTGGTTAAGGTGCTGGAATCCCACGTGGCCAATCACAAGCTTTCTCAGTTTCTCTCTTTCTCTCTCTCCAGCCAACATACTCTAGAAACTAAATCAAACTAACACAAAGGACAACACATCCCAAAAACGAGAAAACAAATCACAGACTAGGAAAATATTTGCAAAAGACATATCTGATCAAGCATTGTTAGCCAAAATAAAATAGGCAGAGGGCCTGAACAGACATCTCAACAAACAAAATACACAGATGGCAAACATTTGAAAAGATACTCAACATTATATGTCATTAGGGAACCACAAATTAAAACAATGAGATAGAAACTAGCAGATGGTGTAATGATTAAGTCCCTGGACTCCCACAGTAGTCAATCACAGTTCAAGTCCCAGATCTGGTGGCTTAAAACTCATGCTGGGTGCATGTGTATGTGTGCCCAAAATCCTGAGAGGAGAATAGAGAAGGGACTGCGGAATGGCCATCCCTCCTGGGGGGTGATTTCTCACTTTCCCTTTCTGTGTGTGTGTCTCTCTATGGTCAAATTAAAAATTAATTAATTAATAATTCTTTTTTTTAATTAATAAATTTTCAAATTAAATGATCGCTCAGAAAACTTGCTTTATCCTGTTAAAGTAAGTAGAAGCTAAACCGGACACTGGGAAGATTTTACTCAAGACTGCAATTCCTTCTAATTTAGAATT